TTATTGAGGATCTGTTGTACATGATAAATTGCTTCTCTCTTGTTGCTTTCAAGATTCCACATGATTTTGTGTGTGGATATCTTTAAATGTATCTTTTTGGAACTCATTATGTTTATTAGAATGGTAGATTCATGTTTTTTTGTTTTTTTTAATTGGGGAAGGTTTTGGTCATTACCTCTTAAAATACTATTTCTTCCCCTTTTTCTTTCTCCTCTCCTTCTGAGACTCCTATTATGTGTTTTTGGCACACTTGATCATGTCACACAGGTCTCTTAGACTGTTTTTTTTTCTTTATTCTTTTTTCTTTCTGCTCCTCAGATGGCTACTTCTCAGTTGCCCTATCTTCAAGTTTTTTGTTTCTTTTTTCTGCCTGCTCAGGTCTGCTGCTGACTTGTCTAATTGAATTCTTAAATTCCAATTATTGTACTTATCAACTCCAGACTTTCTGTTTGGTTCCATTTTATAATTTCTATCTCTTAATTGATATTCTCTATTTGTTGAGATATCAATTTACTGGTTTCTTTTATCTCTTTGTGCATATTTAATAAGGAAGATAATAAATCCAATTTCTGGACTTGAGGGAAATTTAATTTATTCTGTAAATAGGCCACACTTTCTTATTTATTTGCATGCCCCATAATTTTTTGTTAAAATCTGGACATTTTAAATAATATTATATGGTAAGATGAGAAATTAGGTGTGTCCCCCTCTTGGGGTTTGTTTTTGTTGCTTTCTGTGGGCGGTAGTTGTTTGTTTGTTTAGTGACTTTCAAAACTATTTTTGTAAAGTCTGTATTCTTTGTTGTATATAATGTCTGAAGTCTCTTTCCCTATAATTTGTGGTCAGCTAATGTTTTTTAACAAAGATTTTCTTGAATGCCTAAAGTTAAAGAAAAAGAAAAATAAAAAACCTCTTCCACATATTGCAGATTGACTTTGTATTAGGGCACTCCTTCAACACTTAACCAAGGTGTTTACAACTCTGCTTTATCTTGCCCTACTGATTGTACTGAGCCTAGAGATCAGCCAGAGGTAGAAAACTTAGGGTCTTCTCAAGTCTTTTCTGAACTGTGTCCTGTCTTGGGTATGGACATGTCTTTCTAAATTCCCAAGTATATGTATATGCTTTTTAATGCCCTAATTTCCTAAGAAAACTTTCTCCAATTTTTCCTTACAGGCTTTGAACATGTCTATTGATTACTTTGACAAAGACTCTCTCCTTTGGCAAAACTTGAGTCAGGCTACTGAGTCTTCTTTCTAGTCAAAAAGAAAAAAAGTCCCTAACTTCAGGCTTTGTCATTAGTCTAATGGCTTTGCCCACTTAGTACAGTTTCAGCAAGAATCCTACTGGATCTGTTTAGCAAAAAATCTTCACCTTTGATATCTAATTTAATTTCTTATCCCCCATCGTCAACGTCCTATCCCCCTGGACTGCCTTCAGTAATAATTCTGTCAAGTTGGCTTAGCCAGAATCCCCCTTACCCCTGATATTTCTCCTTAGTAATTTTCCATCCACTGACCCTCATCCTGCTCCTTGGCTATAAATCTCCACTTGCCCCTCTTGTTTTTGGAATTAAACCCAATCTCCCTCTCCTACTATAATATCCCATTGTTGTGGTCCCTCTGAATAAAAAACTGCCTTACTGTATTTAACAAGTATCATGAGTAATTTTTTTTTTCTGTAACAGTCTCAATTGTAATGTTTTGCCCCAGGTGGCATATTGTTCATTTGCCTTACAATGTTTTTGAGGAATACCCTCTGCATAGCCACTTTTCCACTTTGAGTGGATTCCCACATAGGTGAAGCAGCAATGAGCCCCATGCATCAATCCTTCAGGAGCCACCAGGCAGGCCAGGAGAAGCACAATTCTTTGATAATAAGAGTTGTGCTCTTTCCAAAACCAGGAACCAGATCCTACACTGAGAATGCAGATTACTTTCTTCAAGACTACAGCTAAGCTGAGGAGGCATTAGGATAAGAGCAAGTAAAAATGTTGCCAAGCTTTCCTACAATTTTTTTAAGTTGCCTTATTCTTGGTTCATCATTTGTTTGGTTGCTATAAACTTTTGCCAATTTTTCAGAGTTCTTACAAAGCTGATTCAGACAGATTTTTGCTCAATTATTTGGTGTTGTTAGGGATGAGTCCTTGGTGCTACCTATTTCACCTTATTTTCTCACTCTCTAATATTTTAACTCATTCTTGATCCCTCATTGGCAGCTAGAGTAGCCAGCTCAGGACCTGTTTTGCATAAGCTAACTCAGAAAACCACGAGAACCTCAGACTGCAGCCTGAACTAGCATAGTGAATGAGTGTCAGGCAAATTCAAAATTATGTTTTTGCTTCCCTTGGTAGAGAACCTTCAAAATCCATAATCACATATTCCTTCTAAGATATCTTCCAATATTCATTAGAAAATCCTATAATTGTCTTCTAGGTGAAATTCCATTTATTCTTACTCTGATTATTCATATTACTCCCTAGATGTTTGGTTTTAATCATATTTAGGTGTTAGAATTGAGTGAAACATATCAGGGAGAAATAGCACTTTATCATTATAGGAAAACTACCACAGGTAGTACTATCCCAGGTATCTCTTTTGATAATTTTCAGGTTATTAAAATTAGAAAACTTTATCTTACTTAGGCAAAAAAGTAAAATAAAATAAAATAAATGTAATTTATTAGAATGAAAATGGTATGCCACAAAATCAAAGGTACCACAGCAGTTTTGGAACCTTGGCAATAGGAGTTTTTGAGCTTTTGAGGAGTTTCTAATTCATTGCCATTAAAGTGATGCAGTTGTCCACTTTTAGTCTCCCTAAGTTCAAAATTACAATTTTATGAGAGAGTAAATCTTATTGGCCCAATTTGGATTAGGTACATTTATCTCTTTAAGAGTTATATTATAGGTAATATATGTAGATATATTATAGATAATATATGTAAGATATATATTATGAGATTTATTGTAAGGAGTTGGCTTACATGATTGTGAAGACTGGCTAGGCAAATCAAAAATCCATACAGCAGACCATGAGAAAAGATAGGCCAAAGCTCTTGGGCACAAGCTAAAGATGTTGTCCACAGGCAGAATTTATTCTTTTTCAGGGAATCTTCCTCTCTCCTCCTAAAGCCTTCTTCCAACTGATTGGCAAGAATCACCCAAATTACTTTGGATAATCTCCCTTGCTTAAAATCGATTGATTATGAACTTTAATCACATCTACAAAACACGTTCACAGCAACAATTAGATTAGTGTTTGACTGAATAATGGAGAACTGTAGCAAGTCAAGCTGACATATAAAAATGATCATCACATTGAGTGAGGCCCAATTCTGTGGCTCTAGGCTCCGCTTTGCAAATTATAACAGGGTAGTAACCAGAAAAGGAGGAATTGCAGAGATCTGGGGAGAGTAGCCTATGAGTACCGCTAAAATGTCTACTCAATGGCTCTAACATTGACATATGTAGCAGTACAATTTATTAAGTCATTAATTTGTGAGTTTTTCTCTTTCATGTATTTTGTCGTACATCATTCCAAAAATGTAGTCAAACCCCTTGTGCTCTCTTGCCTCAGGAGAGTTAGAACTAGAACCAGAAGATACCTACAGTATTTCATTTTCTTTTCTTTTTTTTAAAGTTGGATCTTTACTTTATTTTTTAATTAAAAATTTTAAAGAAATTGATATATAATAGATGTACATAGTTTGGGGATACATGTGATCATTTGATAGATTTATATAATCAAACTAGGGTAGTTGGGATATCCATTACCTTAAATATTTATCTTTTCTTTATGCTAGGAATGTTTTCATTATTTTCTTCTAGCTATTTTGAAAAGTACAATTGAATAATATTAACTATAGTCACCATGCTGATCTATTTAACACCAGGTCTTATTTCTTCCATCTAAGTATATATTTCTCTTTTTAATTTTTTTTATTTCAGCATATTACAGGGTTACCTCATCCAATGTTGACACAGAAGCTACAGAACCACCACATTTCAAGGATAATAAGCAGGCATAGATAATAAGGATATCATTGGTAACCTCCATTATTAAAGCACCATACGGGCTTCTTATATTCTTCTGTGATTTATGGGGAGGGGAAGGGATGACTTGGATTTAATATCCCATCAGCTCAGTAGGGTGCAGATTTGGAGGCAGATTTAATTAAACTAAAATAAAACAATGTGGTATTGCTTTCACATCTATCTGTGAAGTTAAGAGTTATACTTCCTACACATATAATAAGCTTGGTGACAGAAAAATTATTCTCCCTCCAATCCAATTCTAAATTCTCAGATAAGGGACTCTGAACAGCTCAGCTGAGTCTGATGCCCACCCTGAGACAATCAAGTATGACCATAGGAATAATGTGATATTGAAGCATGGCCACTGGGGACCCACTCCTATGATCATATAGATTGGGAGTGTCATTTCCCGGAGAAAGTAAGAGCAATCAGTTTAAAATATCCACTACAACGCCACCATTAACTTCTTCTTCCTTAATTCAGAGGGTGTTATCCTATGCCTAATTGTTATCTGGTCTCTTCAGTAGCTTTAGTTCAAGTCATCTTTCAAAAGTGATGCAGCTCCAAAATCTATTTTAATACCAGGTTTCTCTCTGTCTTATAGTTCTGAAGTACATATTCTGAATACCCAAATCTTCCTCCAAATTCCTGCCATTCATATAGCAAACTCCAATTAGCTTTCCAGAGATATAGACAGAGAGGAAATACCAGATAAATCATTACTCAATTGAGCCAGGCACAGTGGCTCATGCCTGTAGTCCCAGGGACTCAGAAGGCTGAGGCAGTAGGATATTTTGAGGCCAGGAGTTTGAGACTAGCCTGGGCAACATAGTGAGACCTAGTCTCTAAAATAGTAAGAAAAATCAGCCAGGTACAGTGACATGTGCCTATAGCCCCAGATGTGCAGGAGGTTGAAGCAAGAGGATCACTTGAGCCCAGGAGCTTAAGGCTGCAGTGAGCTATGATTGTGCCACTACATTCCAGCCTGGGTGACAGAGTGAGACCCTGTGACAAAAAAAAAAAAATAATGAATTGATCAGTCATTAATTCAATCAACAAATATTTATTAAATGCTTTCTACTAACAGATACTGGTATAGGTACTAAATATACACCCCATCTCAATCTACCAATCTTAAGTGATGTTATACATTGCACAACCATCATTACACTGCAAATAATAGCATCACTCTAAAATGCCACAAATATCCCCCCCTCACATCCAATCATATAAATAACCCTCCCTTCCCACAAAGTTCGCCAGAGAAGAATATAGGTTGTTCAGAATATGAATATTATTATAGTTAAAATAATATACTAACATCAATATGAAATATAAATTTTGATATTAATAATATCCCCCCTCACATTTAACAATATGACTTCTCACCTAAGCAAGCTCACTGGAAAGGTTATACATTTTGTACTCTAAAAGGGCATCATCGAAAGCAAATAACATATGACATCAACATAAAATATCATAATAGTTCACCCGTTAACATTTAAAACTACTAGCCCCCTTCTATCAATTCAACCATTTCTCTCAAAATAAATTAAACACCCCAAATATTTACACAAAAAATCTTCCTTCCTCCCTCCCCATCCCATTATTTTTTCAGTCTTCTTATATCCAATTATTCAAATTCCTGGTTGGAATCCAGACCTCTTTTTCAGGTGTAGACTAGGATACTTTCTGGTATAAGTGATGAGCCATGCTGTTATGTTATTCCAACCCCAAGACTCTCATGTGTCCTACAATAGGTTTTCTGATCTGATAACCAAGAATCTCCCTTCTGGCATCTACCTCTACAGTAGATAATAACAAAATCATATTCTAAATAATTATTTCCTATATAAACCTCTTCCTACTGTCAAATCAGGCTCTTATTCCTCCAGAGAAAGTAAAGTCACAATATATGTACAAGACTTTTAACAGAGCTTTACTTTAAAATTTGCAATCTCATCTAGAGTGACCCTATTCTCAAGAAATTTGTTGGATCTTGAGTCTCAGTAACAACTAAAATACTAGGATTTCTCCTACTGGAAGTGACAAAGCACCTATAAAGTCTTTCATGAGTCCTAGCTTTCTAAAGTTCAAAGAGCAACTATCAGAGCTTATAAGAATAAATGCCACTCTCATGACAGCTTGGAAACAAAACAAAATCCTAAACTAAGGTGATACCTAAAATGGCTGACACTTTGAAGCCCCATCTCTTATATAAATGTGTTGCTCTCATTGTTATGAAACAAAAAACCAAAAAAAAAACACAAAACTAGTCACAACAGAGGCTTAATGTTATTTGGACAAAGGAAGAATAGAGAAAACCAAAGAGATAAAAGAAGTGTCAGTCAATCCATGACAGCTCCCAGATTCTACAAAGTAATAGATTTAATTCTTCCATGTAAAATCTACCACTCACAGAGAACATCTCCTCTCTTAAAAATGACACCTAAGGCCAGGCGCGGTGGCTCACGCCTGTAATCCTAGCACTCTGGGTGGCCGAGGCGGGTGGATTGCTTGAGGTCAGGAGTTCAAAACCAGCCTGAGCAAGAGTGAGACCCTGTCTCTACTAAAATAGAAAGAATTAATTGTCAACTAAAAATATATATATATATATAAAATTAGCCAGCATGGTGCACGTGCTGTAGTCCCAGCTACTTGGGAGGCTGAGGCAGTAGATTGCTTGAGCCCAGGAGTTGAGGTTCGTGAGCTAGGCTGACGCCAGGCACTCACTCTAGCCTGGGCAACATAGTGAGACTCTGTCTCAAAAAAAAAAAAAAAAAAAAAAAAAAAAAAAAAGAATGACACCTAAGAAATATTCATGTATTTCAGCCAAATTCAGAAATTTTCTATACTGGCACCTCTATTTTCCAGGTTGTTTTCTATGATCCTGCCCTATACACACTTCCCTTTGGTTTCTACCTCACATATATGAATCTATTTTCCACTGTTCCTGAGATATGCTCCATTTTATCCTGCAACACACTCCTGACTCCTATGTTCCAGCTTTATTGTCTCTGAATTAGGACATGTACACAGGGACTTAGTAGGGCCTTTTCATACTTACTTCCTTGACATGCTACTAGAGAATTAGCATTTATAGAAGTATGTAGAAGTGATGCTTGGTGTCCAGATACTCTTGAGATTTTGGCTTATGGACAGTTCCTAGACAACTTGTTAGAATGTGGTGGCAAGCTCATTGATGGTGAAGTTAATGCGTGGCAGCTCTGGTCAGAAATACCTGAGTGAAACAAACACACACAACCAGATAGTAGTCAAAAACCATGAATGATCCTCACATGCCCAGTTGAAAAAAATATCCTCCCATGTACTGTGAACAGAACAGACCACTCTCAGCATTTCCCTTAGTAGTCCAATTTCTAGAAACACCAGTCTTTCAAATTTTCTTAGGAATCATGTATCATAGATAGTTTTCAATTGTATAGCATTTGTAATTTTTTATAAGGCAGCCAATCCATATGGATTTCCCAGTTTTATTTTCTGAGAGATGGAGTTAGACTGGCATTAAAAGTGTTGTAGTGGGTCTGTGGGTCTATAGAAGGAAGAAACTAATGATACAGATTGATTGTTCTAGCTCTTTCTTGCCTTTAACCACTTCGGTATGAGTATCAACTATAGTCACTAGCCACAGATGAACACGCATGTCAACTTTAGCCGACAGCCGTTATTTGAAGGCGCACAGCCCAGCGTCGACTTTAGCTGACAGCCGTGATATGACTTTTCTAATTTTTCATTTATCAAAATAAAATTGTGAACATTTAAAAATAACATAATGAAAACATATATGTATATGTTACGTATTCTGATTTACAAGTAAAGCTGCCTGTAAAGTAAGACAAGCTTTCAGTGCTTTAAAACTTTCGTCATCACACAAGAGCAAAACAGATTCGTTGTCAATGCACAGCACAAACTATTCTGCGGACTATGAGTGCCAGCTGTGGGCAAGGTTTCGTGGCGGGTGAGCGCCATACCGAAGTGGTCAACAGTTAACTTGTACCTCCCCAATTAGGTTAGTATTATCTTTCCTTTGTACAGTGTATCCAAGCTTCTAGTTACTTCATTTTGTAGGGGGGTTCAGCAAAAAGATGACTCAGACAATTAGATATAAATCAAGAGAGCATCTTACCTGAAATTATGGTCTGTAGATCTGGAGTAGGAATACCAAACATCAGGTCTGAAGGAAGGTACCAAAGTCAAACCAAATACACACATCCAAAGAAATTCATCGAGCTTTTAAATGGGCCTCAGTTGAAGATGAGAAGCCAAGGTATGAAGTCAAATGAGGTTCAGAGGTACAGGAATATTGGAAATAAGGAGCAGTAAGTCTGGGCAGAAGTGGTACATTATTATTCTTAACAGCATTCCACCCACAGCTGACTTTTTACAATAGCTTGTGTTTGCTCGGAAAGTTCGGGCTGATGAAGGGGCTGAGCTGGGGTGGACATATATCTCCAAGATCCCCTTTCCTAGGTAGAGATTGGGTTTTTCCAGGGTTACCCATAGAAAACGCTAATGAAGTCTGGTGCATTCCTGAGGTAGTAGGGAGAGTTCCCATGATTGTTTCGTGATCCAAAACTGGCCGCTGTTTCACCAAGATTATAATATCTACTCTATGTTATCCTTGTATTTTCCTTGTTGGGCCAGAGACAACCATAGTATATATGGTGGAGAACCATATCAGGTAAAGCATAAAGCATGAAAACTGGAATAAGTGCATATGAATTGGCATGGGTATAAGTTCAAAATCATAGGGAGGAGAACCAAATGGAGTCTTCCACTTGGATGTTCTTGGCTGGGAATTTATAATGATTAGAATATTCTTTATATGTCTTTCTATATGCTATCAAGATATTGGTGAAACTAGGAGAAACAAGGAGGTAGCAGGATTAACAATCACAATTACTCTGGAAGGGGAATGTTCAGGGTAGAGAAGTGCAGTGAATTGTTATTAATAAAGAGGAATATCAAGGTAGCAGATACGTAGGATGAACAGTCTAGAAATTTAATGCACAACATGAAGAGTATAGTTAATAAATTAATATTGTATTTGGGATTTTTGTTAAATAAGTAGATTTTAGCTGTTCTTGTCACAAAAAAGTAACTTGAGATGATAGATTTGTTAATTTGTTTCACTGTAGTAACCATCTTACTATCTATATGTATTCTATAACACCATGTTGTAAACCTCAAATATATATAATAAAATTTATTTTTTTATAAAATGGAATATCATGATAGTAAGACCTTAGCTCAGCTGGATTATCATTAGGAGACACAGCAGCAGTCATAGTTTATTACCCAGTTTGATCAAAATAATCTTGCCATTAGTCTACAGGTATATGGCAACAGGCAGAAAGATGTGGACATGTGGAGCTATCATCGGCAGGATTCAAATATGCTATAGAAACAAGAAATAAAAACTAGGCACAACCTTAAAATCTGTACCCCCATAATATGCCGAAATAAAAAAAAAAAAAAACTAGGCACAGTAGTCAAGGTCTGATAGCAGGGGATCCCATGGTGGTGGAAAACTTTCTTCATGAATGAAGTAGCTATGGCTTGTCCTGTAATGGAGAAGAAAGAATATGATTCTTGTGGACAAGGTAGCCATTGAGTTAGATTTGTTTTATGCACAAGATGACCATTAACAGGATAGAGAAAAGGTGAAAGACTTCTTTTATAATCAAGGTAGCCATGACTGGTACAGAAGCAGAAAAACATAAGGCTTCTTTCACAAAAAAAAAGTATTCAAACTGAAAGTAGAAGACTTCTTTTGTAGAAAATTGGCCATGGCAAATGCTGACAAAGAGATAAAAGACTTCTTCATGAACAAAGTAGACACAGTGGCTAGAGTGGCAAGATGAGTGGAAGATTTCATTTCTTTCTTGAACAAAGCAGCCACGTGGTAAGTGTAAACAGGGCAATGGGAGACTTATTTTGTGAAGCTCTGGTTAGTACAATTTGGGAGACCAAAGCTTTATTTTGTGAACAAAGGAGACATAGCTAGTATAGACTAAAAAGCAAACATCTTTTGTGAGCAAAGCATCACCAATGGTACTGACAAAGAGGTGAAAGACTTCTTTCCTAAACAAGATAGCCATGGCCAATGCATGGAATAACAGCAAATACTTTTTGATAAAAAATGTACCCATGAACATTATAGGCATGGGAAGTTGAATAATTATTCATGTACAAAAGCACTTGTGGCTGGAGCTCTTTGTATATTTTTCCCTTTCTTATTGATTTGGAATAATATATATAATATGCAAAAATAATACTATGTAACAATTCTAGCACTTACTATGTGTTTTCAATGTTTTGCATACATTAATGTGTTTAATCTTGAAAACAACCTTGTGGGGCATGTATTATGGTTACTGTTATTATTATCCCTACCTTATATATGGGAAACTGAGGCATGGGGCAATTAAATTAATTGTTCAAGGCTATACAGCTAGTAAGTGGTAGAGCCATAATTCAAATCCAAAAAGTATTCCTGCATACATTCTGATCCTGATCACTTTACTATACTTCCTATGCAGAGAAGTAGGAGACTTATTTAGTGAAAAAACTAGCCATGGTCAGGTCAAAGAGGGAGAAAGGAGATTTCTTTTAACAGCACAACAGCTATGGCTGAAACACGTAGGAAGGTTGACAGTTCCTTCCCTGAATACAGAAGCCATGGTTTGGGCAGAACAAGCAGGTGAAAAAAATGTGTGTGGAGTGTGGGAGGTGTGGGTAGGGGGTGAGAGGAAGGATCAGAGAATCTTTTTCAGTAGGAACATGAATACAGAAGATTTTTTCCCAAATAAGATAGACAAATCTCTTGCAGACATGTGAAAAAGAATTCTTTTGTTAATAAATTTGCTGTGTCTAGTGAAGATCAAGATGTTGAAGATAGAAGACATGTTTTCTAAATACATTGTCCATGGATATTGCCAAAGAAAGATGAAAGATATCTTTCATGAACAAGGTGGCCAGCTATGACAGGTTTAAATAGGGTGTTAGAAGATTTCTTGAATGAAAAAGTAGCTACAGCCAGGCAGACATAAGGGCTGGAAGAGTACTCTTTTGGAGGAGGTGATCATTGCTAATGCAAAAAAATATATGGAAAAACTTTCTTCAAGAATGAGTAGATGTGCCTAGTTTTGAGAACAAAGCAACTATTGCTGAGACCGTCAGAGAACAGAAAGACTTATTTCATTCTTTTAAAAAAAGTGAAAAAAAAATCTACACCTAGCACAGACATAATGATGTATAACTTTTCATTAACAAAGTAACTATGGCTGAAGAAGGCAAGGGTGAGGGGTGGATGACATCTGTTATGAACAAAATAGCCATTGCTGTGACAGCCGAGAAAATGAAATAAATTGTGTTAATGAAGTTGCTACAATCAGAACATATACGAAAGTGGAAAACTTTCATAATCGAGGTAGGCATCTTTAAGGTAAATGGGATAAGGAAATGATATTATAAAATTTGGAAATAATGTGACTGTAGACACTGCACAAAAACAGATGGAAATTTTCCTGGAAGACTTGTTTTTCCTGAACAAAGCTGCTCTGACCATTAAAAACTAGGAAATGAAAAATTTCTCTCCTGAACAATGTTGTCATAGCCAATGTAAACAAAAAGTCAAAGACTTATAAATAATGCACCTATAGCATTTGAAGCCATGGGCATAGACCCATTCTTTTAGTAAAAAAATTAAAAGGACTATATCTATGGTCAATACCGACAGGAAAGTAGAAGATTTCTCTACTAAACTAAGTAGCCAGGATTGGTAAATATGGGAATCCATGGTCAGTGCCAGTCTTGGAGGTGAAGGATTTTTTTAATTCAATAGCTATGGTCAAGGAAGGCATGGAGCAGCACATTTTAAACATTTTGGTCTCAGAATGCTTCAACACTCTTAAAAAGTATGTTTTACATGAGTTGCATCTCTGGGAATTTATGAAAATAGAAATTAAAGCTGAAGTTTTTAAAAATAAAAATCACGAGGAACCAGAGCAAGGTGGCAGACCAGAGACACCACCAACCAGAATGTTTCAGTAAGAGGAAGAAGTTTTAGATGAAAGAAAAACCAAACAGACAGACAAACATAGATCAGATGAAGGTCTGAAGGAAGGGTACCATAAGCTTCAGGAGATTCCACGGGAAGAGGGTTCAGAGCAAAACTGGAAGGAGAAAGGCATCAGTGAAGATTATCCCCCTAAAGGCTTGGAGACCAATGAGAAGGGTAAGTGGAGTGGTTAGTTTCTTGCTCACTTGCATCTCAGACTGTTGCTGGGCTCCTGAACTGCTGGAGAGACATTCTACCCACACGAGCCCAGAGACTGCTGCCACCAGTGAGCTGGGAGCTTTTCTAGACAGGGCACCAGGCTCCCAGGCCCACTGGGGTGCCTCCCACCCCACAAACCCGAGCCAGGATGCAGGCTCCATATTGCTTCTCTACCCACTGTGTGCCTTTGTCATCCACATCGGTGGATTCAGCTCCTCTGGTCCTGTCTTGCTCATCCCCACCCAGACATTTCCCAACTCAATACCAGACTGCAGGAGCCACAGGAGTCCAAGGGGTCCCGGGTAATCTGCGTGACTCCAGAGCCTGTATTTGAAATTCTTCATCTATCATTTGAATGTTCTGATTTTGGTTGGTATCCATTGCTAGAGAGCTGGTGTTCCCTTTTGGGGTTGTCCTTTCACTCTGATTCTGCATACTTCCAGAGTTCTTTTGCTCATTCCTTCTCATATGGAGCAGCTCTTGCTTCTTACTTTTTGATTTTCTTTTGTTTAGATAATGACACACCTTGTTTAATCTCTGAGCCAGTAGGTAGTGCTTCTGGGTGAGAATCAACCCCATACACTGTAATGTAAATGTAGTAAATGCAGTAAAAGGCATGCAAATTGATCTCCCTGTCATATGTGGTTCTTGCTGGAAGGAACAAGCTGCAATGTTGTTTTTGGGTCCTGTGATCAGCTCTAGTTCCTTAGAAGAAGCACTTGAATGCCCCAAGTGGTGGGTGAGGCCCTGGAACTTCCAGGTGAGTCCTTATTCTCCACCACAGCAAAGGCAGGTGGGAGAGTGAGGCTCAACAGGTCTGGGTTAGGTGAGCCTGCCCTCAAGCTCCATAAATGCTGGCAAGGGATCTGCTTCAGGAGGGGTCAAAGTTCTCTTCCTCGCCTCTGGTCAAAGCTGCCAGGGAGGGGCTAAAGTGGCCCCACCCAACCAGAAAGTCTGTGTGTAGAGGCAAGACTGTCTGATACCCACAATCCAACAGTCTTGAGCAGGCCTCACTCCTTTCCACCTTCACCTATTCTGTGGTTTCTTCTGGACCTCAGCTGGTGGGCAGGACCTCAAGCCAAGTGAGCTCTCCTACAACTGTAATTTCAAATACAGATTATAAGGAAGCTCAACAAAATACAGCATAAATAGAAATCCAACACAAAGAAACCAGAAAAACAATGCAGGAAATGAATGAAAAAATTCACTAAAGAAATTGAATTATTAAAGAAAATTCAAACAGAACTTTTGGAAATGAAAAATTTGTTCAAGGAGTTACAAAACGCAATGGAAATCCTTAAGAATAGGTTAGATCAGGCAGAAGAAAGAATCTGAGAGCTTGAAGACAACACCTCTGAATTAAACAAATAAGTCAAAGAGATAGAACACAGAAATAAGAAGAATAAGCAAAGCCTGCAAGAAATATGGTATTGTGTAAAGAGGCCTAACATAAGAATCATAGGCATTTCTGAGGGTGAAGAAGAAAATATACAAGGGTTGGAAAACCTATTGGAGGGAATAATCGAGGAAAATTTCCCTGGCCTTGCTGGCTTATCTAGATATCCAGGTATAAGAAGCTTGAAGGACTCCTGGGAGATTCATCACAAAGAGGCAAACACCATGACACATAGTCATCAGACTGGCCAAAATAAACACAAAAGAGGCATTCCTACAAGCCATAAGGTGAAAGCATTAGGTAACTAACAAAGGCAAACCCATCAGACTAACTGCAGACTTCTCAACTGAGACCTTACAAGCCAGAAGGAATTAGGGCCCCATACTCAGTCTTCTCAAACAGAATAATGGCCAGCCTAGAATTTTGCATCTTAAAAAACTAAGTTTTGTATATGAGGGGGAAATAAAGACTTTCTTGGACAAGCAAACACAGGGAGTTTGTCAAGGGAAAACCTGCCCTGCAGGAAGTACTCAAAACTGCATTGTACATAGATCAGCACAATAGACATCCACCAGTGTAATATCATTCAAAAACTAAAGGTAAAAGGCCAGGTACCACAGTGGCTCAAGATATAAAAACAAAGCAATGAAGTTTTAGTTAACCAGCTTGAAGTCTGGTAAATTGATGCTTCCTAATTTTTTCTTTTTGCTTAAGGTTGCTTTGGCTATATGGGGCCTTTCTAGTTCCATGAGAAATAGAATTATTTTTTCTAGATTGCCGAGGCGGTGGATTGCTCGAGTCAGGAGTTCAAAACCAGCCTGAGCAAGAGTGAGACCCTGTCTCTACTAAAAATAGAAAGAATTAATTGGTCAACTAAAAATATATAT